TCAACATACTCCTTCCATCCTGCATCTGTTTTCCCTGCCGCATATTTTGCGTGTGACTCTCTACGTACTCGAATTGCTTGCTTGATTTCTTCGTCCCACCACTTCACTGCTCTCTTACAAACTATCAACTTTCTACCTAGAACTCTACTTGCTGTTGTGTTTACCAGCTCTTCCCACCCTTCTATGATTCTAGACCCGGCCTGGTCCCGGCCTTCGGCATCCTTCGGTGTGCCCATTGCCTCTATCAACTCCGAGAGTTTCTTGTCGTTCATAGCCATCTCTTCTTGGAACTCTACCCTCGTTTCTTCTACTTCTAGCTTTTCTATTCTCCATCTGTACATTTTCCTGCGTCGCCTACTCTGTATGACTCTCGTCTGTTGTAGGGCTGTCCACACCAACGCGTGGTCTGTAGTGCCTACATCCGTTGTGCATACTCGTACTTATGGGGGGGGGGGGGGGGGAGAGAGAGGTGTGGCTGGGTTTGCGCGTGACTGCTTTCTTTCTGTTGACAAAACCCGATACACATCTCCGCAACTACACGCAGAAAGTCAAAGTTCGCAGCCGATGGAATGGATATCCAACCTTCCTATGGTACTCCTTGGTTGCACTATCGAAAACAACATTGTATTGACATATGCATACAATACTGTGGTGTACATAGCAGTCACGGGTGTACACCATCCGGCGACGCAGAAGTAGCGTCCCACCGCCATGATGTCTCTGACTAGACATCAGCACGACATACGGAACTTCTCGCGCCTTCAAAGGGATAGTCATACATCGTACCATGCCCTAGCGGTTAGACCATTGACCACGCGTCCTCGAGAGGACGGAGGGGGGGAGTTGCACAAAAATCGCTCCGCAACACGCCGAGGATAACCGACAATCGACACCCCATGGCCACCACCAACACCAACACCAGAAAGGAGACGGAGAACACGAAGGGTAATAATTGTACGTGCTTGCCTTAAGCTGGAAGCCGAGCCTCATGGAACTCCTCGCCACCGCGAGCTCGCTCTTCGACATCTGACGCACGAGCAAAAGTCATACAATCAAAAGAGTGTTGCCTTGCAGTCGTAACAAACAGCAAAGGGAAGGGAAATGACTAACAGCGGCGAGGGTCACAAGAAAACAACAGGAAGGAAACCTTGTTTAGAACCATGTTGAAGTCGGCAAGCAGCTGCCGTTTTCACCGAAAACAATCCCGCCTGAACCAGACAACCACATGTCGAGGAGACATGGGGGGGGGGGGGTACGCGCTGTGTGCCGCGACCGTTTCGACGAAAAATCCAGCACAAACGAGCGAAAAGAAGCGATATGTCCAGAAAATACAACTTCGAAGGCCACCATTGGTGTCACGAAAAAAAAAAAATGTTCCGTCTCGCCAAAATGGACACAAGCTGTTCCTATTCAAATCATCTACACACACAATAACAAAAACAGCAGGAAACACTAACACACGCGATTTTTTTTTTTTTTTGCACTATTAGTCATGAGGCAGAAAAAAAAGGACGACACCCTCAACACACCTACATGGGGGCGCTGGAGATTCTCGGCCAACAAAGAAAAAATGCGCGGCGCATGACACCGGTACCACCGCCGCAAACTGCAAGCTACGGCGCCGCTGCTTTTTCGACAGCTAAATTTACTTCAACGCATTCCCATTGACTGTGGTTTCATCTCGAACGGGTAGTCTTTCGATGTTCGCAACTATGTATGTTGTCTAAAAACCACACACCTTCGTGGCGAGGCACAGGAGCTTGGTCGAGTCTGGGCTGAAGAAGAAGGCCATGATCACTCGATCCAGAGGAATCTCCACCTGTTCCCCGTGATACAGGGGCGGGCGACGAGGAGGCAGCGAAAAAAGCAGGGGCCAGTATCATCAATCGTCATCGCTTCCCTGGTCAAGATAAACACGCACAATGCTTCCATGAGGCACACGACATGGCCAAAAATTATATGCACAACAATAAAGAAAAAAATTGATACAGTAGTCTGAAGGTTTGATCTCGGCTTCCACAAAAGCTAGTCGTGGGTTCGAGACCCAGGCTGAACACGTGCTCTCAACTCTGAACTGCCTTATCACGCATGCATGGGTGTACTGTACCTGTTCCATCGTTGCCGTGCTGAGGGGGTCCAGGGCTCCCTCTCCCCCCTCCAAGACGCTGATGGTGTAGAAACCCGTCGTCATGTCTTGCTGCATCAGGCACAGCCTCTGCCCGTCGGGAGAAACGCCAAACGTACTGAAACCCCTCGTCTGCGTGTCATCACCATCATCATCGTCGGAGAAGTGAAAACGTGTACATCAGAACCGGAAAAAAAAGGCCAGTGGATGATGAGAGGTGTTGTTGTCGACGACAGTAAAACGGGTATTGATTGCATGATGCTTTTGGTGTGTCGAGCCGGGCCGCCAAAAAAAACGGAACCTTTTTCTTTCAACTCCGTCGCGCCGCCAACAACAACCCTGAAGTGGTGTTCCATGACGGAGCCCCCTCCCCCCCCCCCCCCCCAAAACAACACCCGACCACCAACAGAAACGTACGAATGCTGGGCATGGTACTACCACAGATTTGTGCATACATACCACATTTCTCTTTGTGGTTTGTTGAAGTTCCCTGGTCTCTTCCAGTGAGTCGAGCGGTTCGAAACACCACACTGACAGCCAGCCAGCCAGCCAGCCGCGGGGCCAGCTGCTGGGTCCCACCGCCTGCTTCTATTTCCATCTTGCGTCACCCCCTGGACGACACCGCCACGCTCCCGTGAGAGCCCACCCCAGAAAGGTACAAGTATGATGGATCCCTTGCACCGCACACTAGACTAGAGCTTACCGGGCAGATCCTCTTCTTGGCCGAGCCGTCCACCCTGCCCGACACCAAGTGCTGCCCGCTCTCATCCCCGTCCGTCTCGACGAGGATAACAGCGTCCTCCCCGCCCTCGCAGTGGGTGCTGGGGGCCATGAACAGCTGCGCCGCCCGGGTGGAAATGTCCACCTCGTCCCCGGTGGTCATGTCCAGGTGGTAGACCCTGCCGTCGGAGTTTGGGGGTCACGCAGGCGGCCGGGGGCGCGCCGGGGGGGTGTACTGAGTTAGACCACGCGTCCTCCTCTCGAGAGGACGGATCATTGTCGCCACAGGACCGATGGCCAGCAGCCGGCGGCGGGGGGGGGGGCGGGGGGCGTATTCATGTTATGCAGCCTTATATGCCTTTTAGTTGTTATACCATCGACCACGCGTCGTCCATAGGACGAAGCATTGTTCCCACAGGATCGATCACCGATGGTCAATCGTGCCTTCCTACTTTCCCCCAAGGTGGCTTACACATGTTTTTCCTCGTCCTGTCGATATCCCTTCCGGGGGAGGGACAAAAAGGAAAGCCGAGAAGAGGGACAAAATTTGAAGCGGGGGCCTTCGATGATGGGCGCCACGAAGACGGTACTGTCACGAAGACGGTACATAAGAGGCCTGCGGACACACACCCATGGAAACAAAAAGCCCAGGGTGCACCATGAGGGTTCCCGCAACGAACGAACCGATATATCTCAGGCTAGAAATTGATCTTGCCGCACTATCGTGACGTACACGACAAGCCAGGACAAGACCTCCTCCTCCTCCTTCTCCCCGCCTCATCACTCGCCTGTTTGCTGTGTGTACCACCATGTCCGCGTTCCTCGAGTCCTTCTTGGTGTACGCGTAGAACAGCGGGTTGCCTTGGGCAAGGCCGCGTGCTGCCGGCACCAGCAAAAACAAAAAAAACGACCGACGGATGCGAGTCAGCGTATGCCGTTCACAATAGACTGACTCGTCGGGCGAAACACAGCTCAAATTAACCACAGCCAACACTCCACCACCCAGCAGTCTAGAGAAGAAGGGACAGACGCACGGACGCGAGTCAGCGTATGCCCTTCACCATAGCCTCGTCTGGCAGTAATAAACATAAACAGCACAAACAAATCACACCAACACTCCACCACCCAGCAGTCTGTGAGGGTCAAGGTCGAGGGATGAGCCCACCCCAAGACGGGGAACGGCAAGCGGGAACAGCAGCACTACCACGCCTATTGTATCTACACGCCTAGATGCACTACGCGAGCTCGTGCTGAGAGAAGTGCTTCTACTCACACAAGAACTACACCGCTGTTGGCTGTTGGCTGTTTCTAGCGAGAGACAGCGGCGGGGAGCCTATTTACGACAGACAGGCAAGCGAGTAACGGACCGCAGCTTCACACACACACGGGGGGGGGGGTATTTTCCTCACTCTTGGTCCTGTACGGAGTCTTCGCCGCAGCTACCAGGATCTCCGACAGCCTGATCGTTGCACCCCCCGGACCCTCCGAGTTGGAGAGGTAGGTCAGGCTCTGGCTGCTGGGTGACCACATGAGCAGGAAGGGGGCCCGCGGAACGCCGACATCAAGCTGTAGAGGGGGGGGAGGGGGGGGCGGTGGTAGGTTCCAAGAAGGGGACGGAAACGTGCGCGTTCGTACGTGGGGAGGATGGACGGGGATACGGGGGAGGGGAGCAGAGGTCGGCGTTTAGTGTTTAGTGTTGACGACATCGGGCTCGCAAAGGAAAAAACGAAATTTCGAGACAACCAGCTACACGAGGGTGCTTGTGGACGGAGGGGCAGAAGGAGGTGACAGCAGTCTCGTCAATAGTTTCACCCACACACAGCCAGCGGGCACCAATGCTACCTATGCCCAATGCGTTGGTGTGATGTAGGTACTACCCTACCCGAAGCTTCCTCCGAAACAATCGTACAATGCAGTTCTCCCTCGAAGCGAAAACCGCTCCCGCATGTCGGGAACAACCTTATCCTTCTCGGGAAAGCCGTGACATGACGGACTCGAAACTTGGTCATCCAGAGCATAAATCACGGGGAAGGACGTTGCACGACGCTATTAGGCTGAACGCAACAGAAGTAGCGACAGCACATCCATCCGCTTTGACGAACGAAAACGGAGTCGACCTGAGAACCTATAGAACAAATTGTACCCTCTCCCACCATCGCTTACCACGAGGCTGACAGCACATCCATCCGCTTTCACGAACGACAACGGCGCCGACCTGAGAAACCTTTAGAAAAAATCGTACCCTCTCCCACCATCGCTTACCACGAGGCTGCCGCTTTCTCGGTACACGAGGATCTTGGCGGACTCTATCGGCGCTCCCCCGCTCCCCGCCTTGAGAACACTGAAAGCGACCATCTTCCCATCTGGCGACCACACCGGCAGCTGGATTTGACCCGTCCTCGAGATCTCCGCCACCTGATATCAGAAAAAAAAGGGGGGGAGACGGAGAGCGTCAAAACTTGGGACCGCCAAGTGAACAAATAAATCCGCTCGAAAACATCGGGGGTCAGGTAAGGAAGGCACCACGCTTTGTTCAGGCGTGCATGTCAAAACTAGAAGTCGAACGCGTAACAAAATCTAGATACAGTAGTGCAGTTTATAACCCTTTTGAGTCTTCAGGCGTTCTGTCTGATCATTGATTGATCATTTGCAAAGCTGGTCAGTGGCAAGTCGTGGAGTTGCCGCCCTGCAGCCCTTCGCGCCGTGTATTGGCAAGTCCATAGGTAGGTGTGTCTAGATTATTCGCACCCGCGCTAACCGGCTGACCAATGAAGTGACAGCGGGTAATATCAAGGTCTCGGGAATGGGGCCAATCAATGCCACATCATGAATCTCTCCACGTATGTACATGAACGTGTGTGTGCATACATACATACATACATACATACATACATACATACATCTGTGTTCTTTCGCAGCACACACGTACACTCGCCCCAACGTAGGAAGTCACTGCTGCAAAGAGCAGAGGGCAGCAGAAGGGAGGGGTATTGCAAGCCCTGCCGAAGCCCAGATATCGAGGATATCGTGTGGTATGCTGTATCTCCCAACAATTTGAAAATCGTTCTCAAGATCCAGCAGTCATTGTGTCAGCAGCTACAACGAGCGCTACAACAACACTACTACTATGCTGTAGACGAGAAAAAAACAAATCAGCAACACATCCACACTCGTAGCGCCACACACACCCTCGCCCGAACCTAGGGAACCACGAGAGGTACAGGTGTGTCCTGGTGGGTGTGCTTGTTGTTTGAAAAAGACAGGAGCTCTAGAGAGCTGGCAGGGCACATTTCGGGGGGGGACAGAGAATAGAGAAGTTCAGAAGTACAAATACCAGCTATGGGTCTTCACTGATCATTTTGACCCTCTCTGGACTGATCATTGGTACAATATACCGAAAATAGACTAGTTGAGGCAGCTAGACGACTGATCATTTCAAAGTCTACACAGCTAACCTGCCCTACTGACCGAAGCGCGACCACCCATCAACCCTTCTACGACCCTGTCCGTGGCCACCACCCTGTCGCCGGCTTCCCTCATGGCCTACAGGTGGAGATAGCTGTTGCTTGTGCAGAAGTACACTGTTGTCTTTCTCTGCACTTCTCTCTCTCCCGCTCGCTCTCGCTCTCATACTTTTGTTTTTCCCGCAATAAAAAAAACTGACAGTCCAGCCTGTAGACCCAAAGGGGTCAACACACACAATGCCCGACACCACCATCACCCCCGCCACAAACACACACATCGGCACAAAAAAGACCACCATCGCCAGCAACAGCACCACCAAACACAAGACCCACCACCACCAACCACAAGATCCATCACCACCCACCAAACACATGATCCACCACCATCAAACACATGATCCACCACCACCAACCACAAGATCCATCACCACCCACCAAACACAAGATCCACTACCATCAAACACAAGATCCATCACCACTTAACACAAGATCCATCACCACTTAACACAAGATCCATCACCACCAACCACAAGATCCACTACCACCAAACACAAGATCCACTACCATCAAACACAAGATCCATCACCACTAAACACAAGATCCACTACCACTAAACACAAGATCCACTACCACCAAACACAAGATCCACTACCATCAACCACAAGATCCATCACCACAAGACACAAGATCCATCACCACCAAACACAAGATCCATCACCACTAAACACAAGATCCATCACCATCAAACACAAGATCCACCGCACACACCTGGTCGTTTCGGAGGAATCGGCGAACGGTAGCCCCCTCCGGGTCCGTGGTGATGATGTTGGACGCCTTGTCCCCCAGGCAAACCAGCCGATCCACTTCGAACACGCTCCCCCGGCTGGCAGCACACGGGCCGGAAGGAACGGGGACAGAGGGGGCCGAGACGGACCCCCAACACAAGCGGGGGACACAGCGGGCAACGCATACAGATATTGTATAGTCTTCAGATATACGTACAAGATCGGAGTGGGCAAACTGATGCGCTTGGGCAGCGGGTAATGCAAGAGGAAGGCAAGCAGAGTAGACTATATGAACAACAATTTCATGTAGGGCTAGAGTACGGTGTTGGGCACAGAAGAGGTTGTTCTGAGGAGAGTAAACTGGAGACAAAGGAGAGTAGTGCAAAGAACGAATGTGGTTGGAGAAGAAAAAAAGTTCAGTGAAATTATTGACGGTGGAGAGAGGTTCCCTGCCTGCCTATCTTAACCTCAAACGTAATGTGTGGAACCTTGAAGAACGGAGGCAGGCTCGGGCGCGATGACCTCTACATCATACTATTCTCGGGGCAATTGCACCCACAATTCCTGTTCTACGATTAGATATTGCGAATGAACATGACCAAGCATCCAGCCTTTTTAGGTCAAGTGCATGCGATGGCACGACGGGTGCACGCCGACGGCTTGCAGAAACTCCATCCACGACGTGGAGTGACCTCGGGGATGTCATTTGGGTTAGTTTGTTCTTTCAGCTACAGTACGCTACCTCTCCCTGCCTTTTGTCTTCCCCCCTAAACTGATGTCTCCTGCCTTTTGTTTTATGCCTCCCCCCCTCGGGTTAAGTCTTCCCGCTCGGCTTATGCCTTACCCCGTTGTCTTAATGTCTTCCCCCTTGTCTTACGTCTCCTGCCTTTTGTCTTATGCCTCCCCCCCTCGGGTTAAGTCTTCCCGCTCGGCTTATGCCTTACCCCGTTGTCTTAATGTCTTCCCCCTTGTCTTACGTCTTCTCCCATTGTCTACGTCTTCTCCCAATGTCTTATGCCGTACCCCATTGTCTTACGTCTTCTCCCATTGTCTACGTCTTCTCCCCATGTCTAGTGTCTCTTGTCTTTCCCATTGTCTTACGTTTTCGCCCATTGTCTTAAGTCTCGCCCCTTGTCTCACGTCTCATCCCATTGTCTAAAGTCTCCCCCCTGGTCTTATGTCTCCCTCCTTGGCTTACGTCTTTCCCCTTGTCCGTGTCGAGCCCCGCCCTATTTACCACCGATCCCATCGACGCATCCACACAACAAACCACTGCGAGACAGCAGTACTCCGCACTAAGTTGTGCCGCAAGCGATACAAGCGAAACAGACGCACCTCTCTCTCAGAATCCAGTCCTTTGCGTCCCTGAGCCTGGCGGCCCTCTTAAACTTCTCCTTGCTCACCGCAACCCCCAGCAAGTCGGACACCACATAAAGAGGGTCCTACCAGGCAGGAGGGGGGGGGGGGGGGGGGGGG